ATTCTCAACTTCCAATCTTCTCAATCCACTTTCCATACAGCTCCAAGAATGATGTTTTTAAAATCTGAATCAGATTCCCTCTCATAAATTCCTATTACTTTAGAATGACCCACAGGTTCTCTATGATCTAGGTCTTGCTTATTTCTTCCACATTTTTGCAGAATACTCTTTCTGTATACAACATCTCTTTAACTTGATCTCTTTTCTGTTCTTTAAACATACCAAGTTCTTTACTCACTTAGGGCTTTGTAATTGCTCTACTTCTAAAGGAATATTCTTCCCTTTCTCTTCAAATAGTTCATTCTCATTTTTCACACCTCAGCTCAAAGAATATCCTGGAGACAACTTTCTTCACCTTCTGATACACTCCATTTCATCATGTTGTTTATTCCCTTGATATCAATGACCACAAAAGGTAAATATATTCTTTTTGTAGTATTTACTTTTTTATTACTTATTTCCTCCAATGCAAGCCCTATAAGGATAGGGACTTCTTGCTATTATTCTCTCCTCCTCATCACTGGTACAGTGTCCTGAATACAGTGGGCTCAATTAATATTTGTTGATTAAAGTACCTGGGGTGTGTACACACACACACACACACACACACACACACACACATATATATAAATGAAAAAATACAAAGACTCAGAGTAAAAATTTCCAGGGATTTACTCATCATCACTACTGGAATAAAAACACTCAAATCATATGACCCATGGTGTATGTACATACTAAGACTTTGTATAGGCAGGAACATAAATATATATCTTCAATGACATAAAAGCATGTTTCTAATTCTAATATGGCTTAGTAGAATAAATCTTTTCCCATGTCATATAGAAGGCTGATTAAAAGGACAGTTCAGCAGGTTAAAACTTTGTTTATTCAAATGTATTTTAAACATTCAAATGAAAAATGTGAACCCATCGATATCTTTTCTGAAATTTAGAAAGCAACTTATAAATGAACCAGGTGCAGGAAAATGCATGGAAGATTAGATATAAAAGTAAAAGCTACAGGGACGCTGAGTGGCTCAGTTGTTAAGCATTTGCCTTTGGCTCCGGTCACGATCCCAGGGTTCTGGGATCGAGTCCCACATCAGGCTCTCTGCTCAGCGGGGGAGCCTACTTCTACCTCTCCCACTCCCGCTGCTTGTGTTCCCTCTTTGGCTGTGTCTCCTCTCTCTGTCAAATAAATAAATAAAATCTTAAAAAAAAAAAAAGTAAAAGCTACAAATACTATTATCAGTGAAATTACAAAAATGAGTCATGAAGAAAAAACCACCATGATTGTTAAATACTCATACGTCAAAAAAGAAGCATAAAGTCTGCAACTTTGTGGCATAGTACTATATTCAAGGTTTTAAAAATTTGTTTTTATGCAGGTAAATTTCAAGTAAATTTGTATATTTACAGGTATAATGCAGGATCAGGAGGAAAGCACTAGTTCCACAGATGCTGTTCAAAATTAGGTCACAACATGTAATTTGATGGACACAGCTTTGGTGTGTCTGATGATAACTATTAATTTCTACAGCTCAATAGATTTCTCACATTAGTCAAAACTGATATTTCTTTTTTCAAAAGGTCTTTATATAACAGAACATCGATAAATCACCATACATTTGCTCAAAAAATTGCTGAAATTACTTTTTTATTTTTATATTTCTATATTATTGTTTTACTAGCAAAAGGCTGAATGTCTGCATATTATAACTTATAAAATAATTTATCAAACTCAATTATTTCCATAATATGACTTCTGAACAGCCTTCAAGTTATAATATAAATAACTGAATGTTCCACTTTTTAAGTCCAAACCACTCAAGATCAAAATTCAATTTCATTCCAATTATTTTACATATAAAAGAGGCTTTTGTATCAAACTATTTCATACTTTAAAGTAATTATGCTAGATTATGGAAATGTATGTGTATATGTGTACATATGTATTTATAGTTACAATTTAAAATTTAATTTGAACTGATAGCAGTTTCTCAAAAGGCACAAACATTTATTCTACCCAGAAAAAAGAATGTGAGTTATTCACCTTCAAATAGTTATCTACCTTTTATATTCCCTCACAGCCAAAGGAAATATCCACAACATGTAGCAGGGACAACTGATTAAAAACAGAAAGTTCTTAATATTTCAGCTCAGTTACAAAGAAGAAAAACAGAAAAATTAAATAATAATTAAGAAGAGCAGAGAATAATGTGTGTTAACAGGGTTTCTATAAGTAGACTGAAAATTTTATGTCTAATGTAGCTAACCTTTAACTTCATTTTTGACAGGTGAAATTAGGTAGTAAGGGGGAAAAGATTTAAGTAAAAATGAACAAAAATCTTATTTTTGAAGAATTTTGTAAATTAGACTTTCCCCACCCTATTTAAGGCTTCTTATTAGGAAAGGAAAATTCCAAAAGCCATTCAGGCTTTGATTCAGAAACTAGGAGGGAACGTGGTACCAAGGGACAAAAAAATTAATTTGGCAACCATAGGACTTCTCACTGAACTCAAGAAAAATCATGCAACATTTTTGCCGTGTGCAACACTTTCTCATGCGCTGTCTCCACCTTTGTATCTATAAAACTGGTAACAACTACTTGAAAACAATTATTCCATCTCTTTTTAACAAGACAATCACATTTTTATAACACAGTAGTTGGAAACTAATGAAGTACTGGAAAAAAGCAGCTGTGTGAAAAAAGTACCGTATTCTTTGCCCTATAATTTTTATCAAGGTAAAAATTTATAGCATATTAGACTTTTAAATACCATTCTAATAAACAAGCAGGATTTGAATGTTAACAATCAAGTATAAAAATGGAAAGATCATAATTCCTCAAAGTGTAAACTATCTGAAGGGTTACGTAAGTAACCATTTCTTAAACCTAGTGGACTACTTTGCAAGAACCAAAGTGATAATAGTCTAATCTTACTTCACATTTAATTCATTCTCTCTGATCCAGTCAGTATTTACATCCTACCTGGCCTACTATAATGGCTTCCTCTTCTCTGTCTCACTTCTCTTCCCACTCTGATCCAAAGTATATGCTTCTATGAAGCTGGAATACCTATCTGAAGTTATTTTTGGTGGTTCTTTCCTGTCCACACATCAAAGTACAAAATAACTCCTTAGCCTACATACATTTTAAGTGCACAACACACACTGACAAACAGATGCAGACATCATCTTTAACTGCAGTAAACCTCCACTACCATTTGGTTATTTAAACAATTCGATCTTCATGAATATTGATAACATGCCCCATAATCCCAATTCTGAACTTTTTCCCCACACCACAAGTTTCCTACTACTTTGCCACTGACTTTTATTAACAGATGAGTTTGACTTCTACTTCACTGGGAAGATGGGAGGCTAACCGACAAAACACTCTTCTGACTGTCCTCTTTACTATCTTAACACTTTTTTTTAATATGTCACCTATCTTCTGAGTTTTTTTAAAGACAAAAATGTCCTTTTCTGTTCTAATACCAGCCCTGTTTACCTGAGTTTGTGATTTCTTTTTTCATCTATAATCCTTCTCTATCAATTAATTATTCTCTCTAAATTTACTTTGTCCTTGTCCACAGGGTCCTAGCCCAACAAATATGTTCCTGTCTCCAGTATGTTACTCACTCTCACAGTACTGCCCTTCCCTCAAACTAGTCATCTCTTCTTTTCTCATTAAACTTCTAGAAAGTTAACACTCTCCCTTCGTTTCCTCATTCCTTACCACAGCCCTTGAAATTTGACTTCTCTCTCCACACAGACTCAAAGATGTTTTTTAAAAACACGAATGTCCCTTTATCCAACCATCAAAATTCAGTATTTTTTTTTCTTGGCAGTATTTGACACTGTTTATCACCCAACTCTTTGGAATCCATGACAATAAACTTACTTTCCTTAAATCTTTGAGTGCTTCTTCACAAGCTCCTTCATTTCTTCTACACCCTAAATGTGGCTGTTCTCCTTTAAATGTTTCTTCTCTTCTCATGGGTCAATAATCACTCTTAAGTGCATGAATCCCAAAGCTCTGTCACCTGAATATGACAACAGCACTTCAAGTTCAATGCACCTCCAAACACACCCACCTAGATGGGATCTCACTATTTCTATGATTGGCGTTATCCTGATTCAAATTCTGGACTCAAAGACTCCTTCCTTCTTATCTGATATCTTCTTGGGTTCCATACATACCCTCTTCCTTCCTGCTCTCTTTCATTTGTTCTTCGAGGTTAAAAAGAAAAACTAGCCTTCTCACTGGTTATTCTTCATCTAGCCCACTGCCCAATGTTTTTTAAGCAAGAATGTGCATCAGAATAATTTAGGGAGCTTTTGCAAAACAGGTTGGATATACTGGTTCTAGCATATGGCTAAGAAAATGTATTTTGAAAAAGTTCCGTCAGTGTTTCAGATGCACACTTCTTGTTAAGTATGACTGCCTATCTTATAATGTATAACTCTTTCAAATTAACTTTGTCTACGGTATCAATTTGAGCATTTCATTCTTTTGCTGAAATACTTTCAATGGCTCCCCATTATATAAGCCCTTCCCCAATCTGGGCTCCAGACACCTCTCTCCATTATGTTTATCTACCTTTTAAAATGCTTTTCTGTGCTCCTGAAAAACCCTTTCCCTCTCTCCATAGGTCCAAATGTTATGCCGATTAAATGCTTTCTTCTTCATGGATACCACTGGAAGAGCTCAAACATAAATGAGCCCCCGTTCCCCCCCCAAGATTTATATTATGTAACCTTTTACAGCATTTGTTAAATAGTGCCTTTTTTTTTTTTAACATTCTATTTATTTGATAGAGATTACAAGTAGGCAGAGAGAGAGAAGGAAGCAGGCTCCCTGCTGAGCAGAGAGCCAGATGCGGGCCTCAATCCCAGGACCCTAAGATCATGACCGAAGGTAGGGACTTAACCCACTGAGCAACCCAGGCGCCGCTAGTGCTTTGTTTTTTAACATTAATATACATGCTTCATTACCTTGATACACTACAACTTCTTTAAATATCAGAGACACACCTGGACAATAAAACAGAAGTGATTATCAGCTAAAATCATATCCCCCTCACATCATTTGCATTAGTTTTCTAGAACAAGGGTAAATTATAAACTACTTAAAAGGCTGATACTAACTTATCAGAAATCTCACCTGAAGTAGAGACTTGTGGATGAACACACAAATTCCGAGACTAGAACTGCTAACGTCTAACCTATCACCATAGGTTACATAGAAGCCGGATGCTACTAGAGTTACTACTTGTTCATTACCTATTCTGATCAAAGTCCTGAGAGTATAAATTCCCTCTCCCTAAATCTTATTTTGGGACTGTCATTGTTTTTGTTGATTTTTTTCCTGAAAGTCAAATTTGAAGGGAGGAAAAAAGTTAGAGGCAATTGTATTCTCCATTTTAATAGCACAAACCCAGTTAAAAAAATTATTGCTATAGGTCATACTTTAAAAATTTTTATGTGTGTGTTTATGTACATAAATGTGTACTTATATACATGTAATATATATTTATGTATTTGTTTTCTCTATGTTTGTGTGTCTCTGTGATATATTTCCCCCACACTCAAGTAGGGTTGAAAGAAGCAAGGTCATTTCCCATAGGAAAGAGAGCACGTATGCCTCCTGGATAAGTGGAGTTTTTTAAACTTTTAATTTTGAAATAATTAGAGGCATAAGGAAATTGCAAAAAAGCAGTACATGAAGGTCCCATGTACCCTCCATCCAGCTCACTCTAATGGTCACATTTACACAACTCTAATACAATATCCCAACCAGGAAACTGACACTGATACAACCTACAAGTCTTGTCAGATTTCATCAGTTTTTCTCTGCACTTATGTACATGTAAGTTCCTTGGAACACATGATTCCAAGCAACTTTATCACATGTATAGATTCATGTAACCACCATCAATATGTGTTATTTGAAAACACTCATTTTCACGTACATCAGAGCATATTTTTTAATCTCAGAAAATAGAACTTGGATATATTATTATACACAACACAGAAATTAAGCAGATACAATGAATACAAAGTAGAACTGTATTTTGGTTTAAAATAAATTAGAAAATATATTCATGTCAAAACTTCTCATTGTAAGTTGTATGCTTAAAAGTTTACTAAAAAACAATACATTTGGGCTATTTGTCCAATTAAAACATAGTACTCAATATTATTTCTTTGATTCTGTTGAAGATTTGGTACAAGACACAATTATATGGAGAATATTGGGGCAATTTTTATATAGCCATGATTGAAAATGCTGCCTCTAATGTCAGCCAATATCCTTTGCATATTTTAAGAGGGATGTGTACACAGTCTAGGGAACTAATGATATCCTGGTGATAAATCCCTTTTAGTATTTGTCTCAACAGTTTTTGTTTGAATGAAGAACTAGACTATTTCTCCTTAGCACAAAATAAAAATTACTTAGCATAACAAGCTTTTTTTTCCCACCTTGGCTGCCAAGAAGCTCAAATTAAATTAGTGCTCATTATAGTCAATATATTATCCTTGATTCTTAGACTTATCTTTGCCCATCTTTATAAGGTTTCTGGCCTTTATACCTTTATTTTAAATATCTTGGGTACATTAGTGTATATATTACACTATGTCATATAGCACACAGTCTTAGAAACAATGATGCATGGACTGAAAGTTTGTGACCCTCCAAAATTCATAAATGTTAACACCCTAACCCCTGATGTGATAATAGGAGGAAGTAATTAGGTCACAGAGGCAGAACCTTCATAATGGGATCTGTGCCTTTATAAGAGACAGTAGAGCTTCCTTCCTCTTTTTCTTCTCTTCTCTCTCTGCCATGTGAGGATACAATGAGAAGAAAGCTACGGGCAAGCCAGGAAGAATGTCCTCACCAGATACTAAATCTACTGGCACCTTGATATTAGTTGGACTTCTCAGCTTCCAGAACTATGAGAAACAAATATTGGTTGTTTAAGCCACCCAGTGTATGGTAGTTTGTTATAGCAGCCTAACGAAGACAAACAATCATATATAAATGCTACATTTTCTTTGTATAGCAGCTCATAATTTATATTACTCATCTATAAATAAACCTGATTTCATCTATACAAGTCACTTTATCAATGAGGAAACTGAAATTCAGAAAGATTAAATGACAATTTAGTGAAAGGTAGAACTGGAAATCTCATCAATCTAGAATATTTACCTTCTGGGGGGGCATAGTAAAATCTCGTTTATTTAGAATTACATTAGTTTTAAAATAAACTACATGTCTTTTATAAGCAAGCACTATTTGCTTAATTTCTAAAAACAGCCCCAATTACTATTCCTATCATTTTTTTTATTCTGACCAAAACCCACATACTTAGTGTATACGTTTAACGGTCAACAAATTGTGTTCCTTTGTGCATATTAGAGATGTCTTTAATGGCATGAAATTTTTTTAGAGCTTGTAACAATGTTACAAAACAACATGTATTTCTAACTATATATTCAGGGTATCTTTTTTTTCTTAAGATTTTATTTATTTGTCAGAGAGAGAGAGAGAGAGAGAGAGAGCACGTGCAAGCACAGGCACAAGCAGGGAGAGCAGCAGTTAGAGGAAGAAGCAGGCTCCCTGATGGTCAAGGAGCCTGACACGGCTTGATCCCAAGACCCTGGGGTCATACCTGCGCCGAAGGTAGATGCTTAACCGATTGAGCCACCCAGGTGTCCCTAGGATATCTTTATAATATTTTCATGTGATAATAGCCATAATTACTGTCTCTAAAAATAGCAGTCGCATATAGTTTTTTATTCTTACACAAAAATAGCAGTCGCATAGTTTTTTATTCTTATATACACAATATACTATGATAATACACCCATTCATATACAACAGATTAACCGTTAAAAGCTGAAGAATCTGATTTTTATACTTATTGGCTGATAATTCTGTTTTATTCTAAAACTGAATACTGAAAACTGGGGTAAACATATGAACCTGCAAAACTCTTTAATATAATTAAATACTTAACCTAATTTAGACCACTGAAATAAACATTTATTTTAAATGCCAGGCATAAATAGGTCTCTGTTAAATATAACTGTGGCAAATATACTTTGCTTACTTAGGCAATTTCAAAGCATGTCAGCATTATATTAATACACACTTATCTAACCAACTTACTCTACAAAATATTATAGAATTATTGCTTAATGTATTTTAGCATTTGCAACCAGAACAATGAATTCTTTATTTTTAATATAAAAACAGTGTAGCATTATTATAATCACTAATATAAACACATACCCATGCATATATTTGGTATCCTTTCCAATTACACTTAAAGTCAATGAAATAAACAATATTTATTTCACTTCATAAATACTGGCTTTGGCAAGCCCAATTATCTCCTCATTTTGAATATTTATTTATTCATCAATGAGCACAAATCCAATTATCTATGTAAGATGGCATATTATATAAGCTCCCTAAATAGCTTTCCAATAACAGTACCAATTATATAATAAGCATTATTTTTACTTTTTAAACAAGCATATTTGTTTAATTTTAATATATATTAAATGGATATTTATGTTTTATATTTATATATATATTTTTAAATTTTTTATACACATATAATGTATTATTAGCCCCAGGGGTACAGGTCTGTGAATCGCCAGGTTTACACACTTCACAGCACTTACCATAGCCCATACCCTTCCCAATTTTATTTATATATATTAAATATATTAAATGTAGATGTATATTAATCTTTTTCTGGTATACAAAAGGCACAAATATTTAATTTTATCTAATCATTTTCTTCTAGCCCCACTACATAACTTTGAACAAATATGTCTAATATCAATTATTTCCTGACCTTAAGCAGTAACATCTGCAGAGAAAACTCAGTCTCCAATGACTAATTTATCCTTACAAATTATAAATACAACATGGGAATTTAACATGAAGCTCTTCAGTACCATAAGACCATTTAATTATATCAGCAATTCAAAATGTGCACATCTATTTAAACAAAACTAATCACTGAAAGGAGGGACTACTACAGAGATGGCCACATAGGGAGGAAAAAAGAACTCATTTTTTAAAAATATCACCTTCGAGAGAAATGTATAATGAAACAGGCTGAAGGTATGCAATTCTGAAATTTAATACAACTTCTCTTTATTTAAAATTATATTCCCCAGTGTATCCCATCACAGCTTTGCTGATTCCTTCTAAATTGAAATACAATTTTTCTCTGATCATTGATTTAAAGGATGTCAAACTTCTTATAAAAAGGGTTACTTGGCAAAGTTCAAGGCAAAAGAGCTATTTTAAAATGTTGCCTGTATCAAAAGTCTGTTTGGATACTTCGAAAGAGAAATCCATAAATGAAGTACTTTTCTTCTGTTCTTTTGGAAGAACAGAAAAAAGACCAGACATTTTAAATGAAAAATGTTCTCACCCAGTGATTCTTTCATCTCTATACGCAAGAGAGAGACTGGGATTCAAAAAGTTCATCAGCAACAAAGCCTCACTCAGTCCCATTTAGGAGTTATATCAGCCTGCTACCTGATGTTATGTAAGAGTTTCCTTCCATTCGGAAGAGTTCCTAAAATGGGTACTGTCAAAGGCAGTAAAACTATAAAACCCGACCTACTTTTTTCAAAAGATTTCCATGGATCTTATAGCAAGTATAATTCCTTTTACAGCTGGAGCTATCCTCCTTTCAAGTAAACTGCGTTGACTGAAATATGCTAGCAACTGCTTCACTTTTTAAGGGTTAAAATACAAATCCATAAAATATACACATACTTCTCAAATTTTTATCTCTAACAGTGAATATCTTCTGGTGCTTTCCACATACATTGGTTTTTCTATCTATTGTAAGCCTAGTATCATTCTGAATAAGCTCACATTAAAAAAATTACCCATTTGGAGTACATTTATAAAATTTAAGTAAACAAATTAGTCTGATAGGAAAGTCTGATAAAACACAAATGTGAATTTTGAAACATATGTAATTTATAAGAAAAAGATTCCTTGTATTTATAAAGCTGTCATGTGTAGTTTTCAGTCTTCGTTTTAAGAATGAGCATTACATTCTTGAGAGGGAAGAAGGTTAATTAATTAAAATGGAAGCTATTCAATACTTTTTAAAAAGAGAAATTAATTTCTGGGTTCTTTCAAACTCCCCATTGTCATAAAATATAATGAGAAATGCATTTCAAGTAAATTCTCAAATCAACCGCACAGCATCATTATTTACAGATACAAAATGTCATCCTTATAATTCAAATAAAAGTGCTGTATTTTTCCTACAATTATTCTGAAAACATCAGTGAGAAGTTCACAGAGATTTAATTTCAAAGGAAAGGATAAATCATACAGACTTATGGAAATTATATGCACAAGATAGCATGGCACAATGAACACATTTTTTCACATGATTTACAGTAATAAATTACTCCTTATATTTATTTTTTTTAATATTTATTCATTCTTAGGACTACTAACTTCATTTTCCTTAAGCAAGGCTTACAAGTATAAAAAATAGCCTGTACTTGTTATGCTTAATTTTCCACTTAACTATAGTTTACATTGAATTGAGTGAAAATGAAGTGGTTATAAATATTTATAAATAAATGAAACAAAAAAATTAACTTCACAGCCTAAAGCACATCCACAGACTTTATGCTGCATATCTCATAAGAACATAGCAAAAAGATATGATAAACACTGTAATAATGGACTTTAGTTTCATCAAAATGATAATCTTATTAACTACACATTTATTACCCTAAATTCAAGATTCCTTAGAGTACACAGGAAATAAAATTACTCTGTGCCCATAAAAATCACAGCAATATGAGACAAGAGATCACTATAAGTGTTTCTCCTATTGTGCCAAAACTAAGGGAAAGTCCAGGACAAAAGTACTCAAAACAGATAATTCCTATGGTTAAACAATGCATAATTTAAGAATAATTAACCAGAACAAGGATTAAAGAATACTTAAGATAGACTTAAATTCTAGTAATATACACAGAAGGATAAGAATAAACATATTAATGATCAATGTTCTCCAAATACATGCCATCAATCTTTGACTATAACTCTGTAGAGGCTTTTTTAGTATATATTATTAAAATTAATCATATAAAATGTATCTTAAATGGTTCACTCTTGAGAGCTAATATTATAATAAGCCATGATGTTCAAAAAAATCCTAAATATAAAAATGCAAACTTATAAAGTACTGGAATTCTGTAATTAATTCTGTAAATAAAGCTATCCTAGGATAAAAGGCACAGGAATGAAAGGAACAGTAGATAAATTTATAACCAGTACTGGGGACTAGAAGCTGTAAGCTAAAATTCATATTAAGACATCTATATCCTCAGATGTAATATATAATGTTCCAGAAAAAGTAAGAAAAGGAGAATAAATGAGGCTAGCCTTACCATTAATACTACAAATCATAACTGAAAAGTTATAGTTTCAGTCTTTTTTCTACTTTCTTTAATCATAAATATGTTCATGACCTTATTTTCAACCTGGCTTATATACAAAAATCACTTTTTGAAGCACTGCCTATTATAAAAGGGCTATGTCTTTTGTACATGAAATCAATGGGGAAAATAAACAGTAAGAGTTATCCTAGTTACATAAATAGAACTAAATTCCTAGGAGACTTTAAAGGTAAATATTAAAATATGTGTTTTTGGCTCAGAAAATATATACCTAAGGAAAACCCAAGATAAGGCTAATTAAACTGAATATACTCAAGAATTTTTTGTATTTTATTTATGTAAGTGCGGAGAGGAGAAGTAGAAAATTTTGTAATATGCCCATACCCAAGTTCTTGCTTTCTGTCTACCTGGCAGAGCAGTGTATTTTAGAAAGTGGTGAGGATGACAGTGTGACATTATGACAAATAGGAATGGAGTCAATGCAAATGCAGTAGGCCAATCTAGCTTTAGAGAAGATGATGGTTTTTATGAATGGATTTATTGAATTTCAAGTAATTAAAAATTTATTTGGGCAGACTTAGATACTTTAAAAAAACTGTGTTCGTCAGCATTCTCATTCAGAGACAGAACTTTGATAAAATCTAACTGAAAAGATAATATATATTTTTTCTAAAATTAAAAGTCCTAATTTCTTAGAAATTGACTTACTTTCCTCTGAAAGTATTATTTGTGATAGCAGAGGAAAATAATTTATTTCCTTAACTTCTTAGTTAAGAATGCTATGGCCCAAATTTCCACTGGATCTGCTGAGAAAGCAGAGCTAAGTCATAACTGGCCCATGTTAGTATCTTAGCCTAAAAAAGACAGTGCTAACACTAAAAATGAAATCAGTTTCAAAACCATAATTCTTAAAAAAAAGTTTTTAAGTGTATCATTGATATTTCAACACTTACGGCTATCGTAACATATGTTTCCTAGAGCCCTGCCCGTTTGAAGTAGCACTTCCTGGTCTTTGCTATTTAGCAGCTGCACCAGTGGTGAAATCAATCCGGCATCCACACATGGAATACGCATAAATTCTGAAAATAAGAGACATATGTAATTAAAAATCTAAAAATTCACAGTTTACATAATCATGTCCTTTAATAAAATATCTACCCACTCTTAAAGTGTTTAAGATGGCTTACCATCTGAAGGATACATTCTGTTCAAAAGTAACTCTACTAAATACTTAGTGAAATAAGTACACAAAATGAGTAGGGTCATATTTTTCTTTGTTGACAGTCTCTATCATAAACCCAAAAGATTTTTAATTAATTTTCATTATACCTAATTGATCACTATTTTCTTATAATAACGAATGTGCTTGGGAAGCAATATATGATGACAGGAACACTTGGCAATGTTCCTTCCGTGAGCCTGATAATTAAAGTACTACAGTTATAAACTAAGCCATCAAATTGTACAAATTTTCACATGTTCTCTTTTTTTTCACTGTATGTTCTCTAAAAAGACAAAATATTTTTTAAAAGGTTTGAGTGTATCATTACAAATAATAGGTCCTTTTCAATTGCTAAGACCTGGTAGAATCATCTATTCCTTAATTCCTACTTTTTATTTTTATGGATCACTCACATCTGCTGTTATACCCATAAATTCATAGGTCTCAAATACCAAATGTTAAGTTTTCTTATACTTCTAACACATTTTTCATTGTCTCCCAATGATACCATCATAGTCATGATGATTAGACATAAACTTTTTTATAGTGTCTCATGATGGACTATTATAAAATTGAGGGATAATAATACCAATTAATGAAAGTTCTCCAAATAATCAATATTGGGACCATCATTTTGGACATCATGACGTACTGTAAGTCAAGGAAATTAGTCAACACAGACCTAATTCCACATCCTATAACCCATCCTACTAAATTAAAAAATCATTGTCTTTTCACTATTACTTTCAAGGGGGCTTCCACTCCTTAGTCTGTTCCACAAGTACCACCATAAGAAATCATCCCTCTCTTTTTCTCCATTTTCAAATTCCTAGAGCACATCATATAAGGCTGTTATGTGAGCTGTTAGGTCTGAAACAACTTCTTTAACCCATGACATAGCTATGAGTCACAGAGGTATTCCTCTCTACCTAAACAAAGGATTGCATTCCTATTACATCTCTTACTTACTTACCATTGTATTATTGAAAACTCTCTATAATTTAAACTTCCAAGATTTAAGAAGTACTTCTTACTTCTAAAGCTAATCTTTAAGTCTACTGTTTATGTTTTTTTTTCTTTCTTTCTCTCTCTTTTTTTAATTCCCTATTGGGACTTTTTCCTATTGGGAAAACGAATTATGCTATAAATAATTTCAAGAATTCAATGACCATCTTCTGTAGGGGATGACATATCAATCTACTTGTCTACCTCTTAAGTTAATGATCTCCTTGGGACCTTTATATATTTCAAATCTTAAAATAACATGTCACCAACTCAAATTAATCAACTTGAAGATAGATATTCACTATCTTTTCTACCTTTCCCTATGCCTAGTTTCCAACAGTGAAATAACTACTAAAATCAGAAATTTAGAAATAGTCTGATTTGCACTCTTATTTCACTCTTATTTCATAAATTTCATTTCCTTTGGACACTTATTTCTCTTTTCTTATTTCATAACTGTTGTTATATTTTATTATTTTGCTTCTTTGGTTTGTTGTTGCTATTCTTCAGGCAATGGCAACATTGATGAGTTACTATTTTTGTTTGCTTTGATGCTTTAATGTTCTATATGATACCAACATAGCTTTCAAAATTCTGATGGTACAATCAATAATAGAGAGTAAATAATTAGGGGAAAATTGCAGAATCAAATAAAACTGTTCTGAACTTTTTTTTAATACCAAAGCATGCAAACAGCATAAGTAGGTCAATTGTGCCTCAAATTTTTTTTTTAAAAGCATATAATAAAATAAAATAAAACTAGTATATTCCTTGGCTTTCGGTGTAAAGACAAGACTGCCAGTCCCTGGAAGAAGCAAACTCCCTTCTAAAACGTTCTGCTTTTCAGTCAGTTTGCTTTTTAACTGAGGACTGCAGCTCTCTTTAGCTAGTTTTAAAGACATGAAGTTACCTCCTTTAGATGGATATATGTAAAAATAGACCAGAAACTTACAAGGAATATGTTTAAAATACTATATTTAACACACATTATTTACTTATTATATATATACTATTATAGAGGTTATAGAATGAATGGCTGTCACAGTCATCCTTGTTCAACAGGATTCCCATCACACATACCCCTAGTTCATACTGCATGAACTTGTTACCTGAGCATAGCTGGTGAGACTCTACTTGAGGCCAGACTACATACTGGCTGGCCAATAGCCTATCAGATGTTCTAGTTCAAAAATCTGCTAAAAAGGACAATAGCAAGAAACTGGGGAAAAAAACCAAAAAAATCAGATCCTTTCTTTTTAATTTGAACTCCAGAGAACTGAAAAGTTCTTGAGGAGGGAGGGAAGGACTGTCAGGGGAAGGCTGAAACTGAGATACATGCATAATGACAGTGAGTGAAAAAACCATAGTCATGGGGCACCTGGGTGGGTGAGTGGGTTAAAAGCCATAGTCAGTGAAGGCACGGACTATGCAGTAGAAGAAGCCACTAAGTATTTGTATACTTGTATGTGTGTCTATACAAGATAAAATTCATTTAGTTTTTTGCATAATGTGTGGACTTCAACATAGAAATTCAATACAGAGCTTCAAGGAATAGGCACTGCTCTATATTAATATCAACCCAAATTTATTAACATAAAGTTGATTTCTACTGAAGAGTATTTTTTTCCTTTGATTGTAGTGAAACAACCAATAAGTGTTTGATAGAATATTTCTATTTCTTTCTGAATCCAATATTCCTTTGTTTTTGGTTTTTTTTTTTTTAAGATTTTACTTATTTATTTGACAGAGATCACAAGTAGGCAGAGAGGCAGGCAGAGAGAGAGGGGGAAGCAGGCTCCCTGCTGAGCAGAGAGCCATGCAATGCAGGGCTCTCAGGGCTCGATCCCAGGACCCTAGGATCATGACCTGAGCTGAAGGCAGAGGCTTAACCCACTGAGCCACCCAGGCACCCCACAGTATTCCTTTCTTTTTTGCTTTTACTTTTCCAAACCTACTTGAATTACACATTCATTCAGCATCATCGTGAAGTACAGCACTGTGAAGAAAATCATAGTTTTTTTTTTTATAAAATCTGCTTTTACTATATCTACTTATCAAATATTAAAAGCCTTACATGTACATACTCTCCCCATTTTCAGCTGCCTGAAGGAAATAAATCTATTTTACTAAAACTTTTTAACTCTATAAGCCTAATAAAAACATATGGAGTATTAGAGTCTACCTTAATGTTAGACTAAATAGTAATGTGAACTCTGAGTTTGATTTTTCTCTAATAACCTCCCTATAATTATTAACTATTAGCTTTTTATGTTTTTCATTAGAAGAACAAGGACAACTATGAGGCGTGAATACATAGGAACCAGTGGCTTTCATATGTAGGTTGCTGAATTGACACTTTTAATTTACACTGTGTTGCCTTTTGTTAAAAAAAAAAGTTAATACTGGTAACTGTAACTAATTCTTACAAATGACTGAGGTTAAGCTTCCAACACTGCAATATCAAGGTATACTTAAAGCTACTTGATAACTAGGTGAAATTTTTTGGTTAGGGGCGGGTAATCAATTTTATTCAACAACTTTTTAGAGCATATACATATATTTAATACTAAAATAAACATATAACTGTTATGGAGTAGAGGGCAAAATGAAAACAAATTTATACGACAAAACAGGAGAATTCCAGGTTTCTAGTGTGGCTTCTCCAGTTCATCCTGGATGTACACTTGAACTCTTTTGTTCAGAGCATTCAAGGAGAAAAGTTTGATAAAAACACTTTTACAATCTGATAAAGCACAGATGGGGGAAAAAGCATAATGTTGATCCAAATTACTGATTCTGTATCATTTTAGACTGTGATTTGGTTCTCAAGCTTTATAGGCATGAGGATCACCTGGAAGACTTAAAACAGACGGCAGTCCCCAGTCCTAGAGTTCCTGATTCAGTAGGGCCAAGTGGGAGGATCCAACAATTTGTATCCTAATCAGTTCCTAGTGAATCTGATGCTGATGGTCCAAGGCAGGCAACTAGTGTTTTGGAGGAGTAGAGGAAGAGACATAAAGTAGTTCAACTTCTGTCTGCTTTTTACACATTTTAACTTCAGTTATCAGCCTAATCTTTCAGGTCATACGCTGCTATCCCTGCATTCAGACCACTAGTACACTTTCCACTTCTATCATAAAATCTCATTTACTGAAGAGAAGTAAAGGAGAAGAAGAGACAAGGAGAAGCATAAGTTCCAACTATTATCACTTAAGTGTTTGAATACCAGCTTTACCACCTACTAGCTCTGTAAAGATAGGCAAGGTATTTAAACCGTTTTCTCATGTGCATAAAATAATCCCATCTCACAAGGGGTTCTTATAAGAATTTGAAATAATGTGTAAAACACCTGGCACAAGGAGGCACATTAATAGCAGCACCCAGTTTAGAAAATTATTATTATTATACCTTGAGAGGACAATTCTGAAAAGGAGGAACTACTCATAGATAATTCCTATCTTGCTTATTTTTCCTTTGCCTCAAATCTGTCTTAAGTATATTATACAGGGGAATACTTTATTTAAAGGTATCATAATCTTTTACTGTAATTTATGCTCATAGCTATGCTCCTACATTACACTTGCTCATGAAACTTCTTGCTAATCCTCTGGATATTGTACATTAGTACATAGTCAGGTATGTTAATTTTTAGAGAGTTTTTTGTATGTGCAAGAGTAAACATAATTATATTTTAAGATTAATCTGAATCTAAGAAGTATATGCTAATATTTCTCCTCTGTAGCTACACAAAATTTGCAGCAGAGGGAAGACGAACAAATCAACTTCCAATCTCTTTTTAACTCTGGTTCATATAATCTTTTTTTCATTGTCAAGTTCCTAACAGGGAAGAAAGACAAGCCCAATCAATGTGTACTCTGTGGCGTCATGCTCTATTTCTGAAGATGTTATTTATTTTTAAAAGAAGATTCTAATTCATTTTCTCAGCCAATCACTTACAAAAACAATGTAATGATTAAGCAAGAAATAAGTATTTAAATGTATTCCATTTATTTTAATCAGTAGAGGTTAGTGATATGCTGTAACAAGCCTCTGATTAGCAGTATAAATTCTAAAAATTCTATTATGTCTTTAGAACATAGCTGTCTTCTATTAGGGTATTACTAGCAGCAACCTATAGCAGGAGAATTATTATGAAACTGTGACAAAGTATTATAAGGAGTGATATTATTAAGTAAGATCATAGAGGAATAGCATTCATTTCACAAAAACTTACTATCCAAAATTTCTGAATCTATGTTATAGTTAGTACGTAGACTCATTCTTAAGAGAAAAGATTTTAAGGAAAAAACTGATTTCTGGAAATCTATACTGTAATTCCCATGAAGTTAAAAATGAACCACCTGATCTTAAGAATCAAGCTGTATTGCATCTAAGAGAGATTCAGGTAATGGTTCATCTAGGTTAACAAACACCATCTAAAGAGGTTCCATTCTCAAATTAGATCTGCTTCAGGAGTTCTTTGTTATCCCAGGGTAATCACTGTCTATTCGGAGGGGTTCAAATCTGCTTGAGGCACACGAAATATTCCCCTACCACGAAGAATCTGAACAGTTATGACCAGCTCAAATCCAAAGCGCGGCATAATGATTACATAATTACAGCAGCTTACACATGACATACAAACAATAGGTGGTCAGTTTTCATCTAACAACCAAAAAACAATGTACCAATATAGAACTTCATTGGTATTTGAAAGACATTTTGAGAGCCTCTAAACAAATGAAAAAATTTCATTGCAATTTTTTTTTTGGTAACACAAATGAACAAATTGTTTTACTGGGCAAAAAACAACACATACTGGTACTTTACAAGGCCACTTGCCATACTCATTACACAAATGAAGCCAGAATTTTTAAAATTTCTATTCTTTGAAGTATGATATATGCAAATTGCTAAAATAAAAGTCCTAAAAATAATACCAAACTTCAAAAATTGAGGCAACTAAAGATACTACATTAAGTATGGCCTTCCTTTAGGCTTAAAAACTGTTTTAAGAAGTCAGTGTTTTTCTCAAACTGAAATAAAAACACGTGCAAATATATCTGCTAAAATACAGTTCTTCCTACAGATCTCTCACTAGATAGAAACCATCTCTACTAGAATGGATTAGCTACTATATAATCTAAGTTTTGCTGTCATTGAGATTTTTCCATAGTATTCTTACATGAAGACTTCAGAAATAAATGTGTCCCATGGAGGTGAGCACAGAATATAGAACATCTATTCCAGCTGTATTGCTGCAGTTAGACCCCCTGCCCCAAATAAAAGGGAAGTTTATCTGGGTATAATACAAACCAACGTATACACATACAAAACAACATAAAGGTGAGCTCCCCTGTGACAATAAAAATGAATGACTCCGTAGCAAGCTCAAGAATCCTATTATCAAAGTAATACATGACACAGGTGTGAAAAGAACTAGCAGTACTTTCCTTTAATTCTTCTCTGAAGGAATGGAAATGTATGAATAGAATGACTATAATCATTTTCAACAATGACTGAAATTTCAACAATGGGAAAACAAAGAAAAGAAAAATAGAAGGAAAGGGACAATGTCTAATCTACAAAATTAAAACATAAATTAATAAAACATACTGACAAGTGAGGTGTAAAACTGAAGATGTTCCCAGCAGAAAAGCTCTTGAGGAAAACCTCACCATTTTTGGCTACTTCTGCTATGACGTTAGCTACTTTGGCTGTGCAGGAAGACTGTGGAATCAACAGACTTGCAAACAGCTGAAGTATTCCACTTCCCTGGATTTTTTCACTCGTTTCCATATCTGTAAGAGATGCATACAAAGAAATGAAAATCTTCAACACTAATACTGACAACTTTATCTACAAGAAAGTCTTCAAGAATTTGCACCATCCATAACAGAAATTAGTTCAATGTAATTCAAGTATATACATTTACATAAGTATAAATATATTTATAATCTTCAGTTCAACAAGTTGCTTTTATCTTGAGTTTTTATTTGCACAAAACACTTTATAATGCAATGTTATGTCTTTCTAAAGTCTGATTATAAAGGAATCTTTTCTGAATATACCATTGCATACGACATTTACTTTTCAATGTTAGTTCCAACCCGGTCTATTCAGACTAGGAATGCTTTTTTTTTCTACTTCTCTTCTGAACTTTTTCTTTTTCTTCTTCTTTTTTTTTAAGATTTTATTTATTTGAGAGAGAGAACACAGAGAGTGAGTGAGAAGCAGACTCCTCACTGAGCAGAGAGCCTGACATGGGGCTCAATTCCAAGATACTGAGTACATGACCTGAGCCGAAGGCAGATGCTTAACCAACTGAGCCACTCGGGCACCCCTCTTCTAAATTTTTAATGGCATTACACACACACACACACACACACACATACACACATATTTAAGGGCATTTTTAATGGCATTATATATATATACACACACACATTATACACACACATACATATATATAATTTCTATGGTTTCCTACAATGCTAGGGCAATTTTTTAATGGCAATTAAAGGAGCAAAAAACTCACCTTATGTCATTTTATATGGAATCATACAGGGGAGACTATATAGTTCCAATGACTAATATGTTTTTCATATCAGTCATTCGAATGACCACTAATGAAGAGAAATAGTAAATAGCAATAAGGCCATGGTATTCAGAACTCTATTTGTTGATACAGAAATATAAGAGTCCCCTACTTCTTTCCCTTCCTTGTTAAAATACAAGTTGGCTTTCTATGAAACCAAGCCACTCATGTACCTGTTAGTGAAAGTATGCCATACTAAAAGACAGTAAGAATACTGGAATGATGATGGAAGTAAAGAAAAACTCAAGGAAATAAAACTTAACATTACTATCTGATTCTAAACCATGAAGAGGAATGGCATGTGTTTAGAGTTATTAAGCTCATTAAAACATCCAATTTAAATTTGGTCCCCTATATCCTTTACATGCACTGGATATACATACACATAAGAGGGAACTCTAAAGACTTCTTAAGTAAATGGCAGCTGCTGTGATCAACACAGAATAGGAAAATCATTTTAATAATCCGAGAGCCTACTCCCCAAAAGTAATGTATTTCTTTATAGTAAGTGCTGATTGTCTAGTATAGTGGTTTTCAAATTGTGGGTTCCAATCCATTAGAACTCTGACTTGGTGAACAAGAACCAGTAATTTCTAAAGAGAAACAGAATTAACATCTGCAACAACAAAAGAATAGAAAAAAATTCTGAATAAAGTAAAACAGTAACTTTGGTTTGAACTATGTGCATGCACATGTACTACTCCATGTAAAATGCATTTTTTAATAAAAGAGTCTGGTCAAAAAAATTAAAAACCACTGTTCCGTGCACCCCTTGACTATGCAGGATTCTGAGCTAAAGAACCTTTAACACTCTCTTTTTTTTTTTTTTAATTTTTATTTTATCTATTTATTTAACAGAGAGAGAGATCACAAGAAGGCAGAGAGGCAGGCAGAGAGAGAGAGGGAAGCAGGCTCCCTGCTGAGCAGAGAGCCCGATGCAGGGCTCGATCCCAGGACCCTGGAATCATGACCTGAGCCGAAGGCAGAGGCTTAACCCACTGAGCCAGCCAGGCGCCCCCTTTAACACTCTCTTAACATCATCAAAAGAAGCTAGAACTGTGAAATGGCTCTGAAGAAATACAAAGTTACATGGAAAATTATACTTCCATGGATTTATTACCTTAAAAATAAGTTATTTGCAACTAGTTATATGTGTGTGCTCACCTAAAACATTAGTACTATAGATCAAGTAACCATGATTGTCCAGTGTTGAAACTCCATCTATGCACTTCCTGTTGCTACCATAAGCCTAGTACATTTTCATACAGCAAATACTATTTTAGTTTCTTATATTTATGTAGTAAAATAAAAAGGAAATTTTGTTGATACTTAAAAATAACCTCACTTATTAAGTGAAGAGAGCCCAGAAAGATGACGTAAACTTGTCTAAAGTCACTGGATCATACTAATCACAGAGCATAAACAGAAACTTCAGATTCTATGACACAACCAAATTGACATGTGTTTTACCTGGCATCCACTGTTTTGTTTTTTTTTTTAGAATAGAAAACTTACTGAAGCATGATAGAGGAAACCTGCCCTTTTGTGTGGAGTTTCTTACTATGTTTCTCATAATTCAGATTATGAGAAACATAAACTACCTATGATGGGACTTAAACACAGAAGCTGTCTTTCAGCAACCATATTTATAAAATACAATGTAATGTTTTGCTTTTACTTTGTTTCTTGAACTAAAAAATAAGTTTTTAAGATACCACCTAAAAATCGGAAACCAAATTTTCATTAATTGATTTTCCTCCCAAGAAGTCAAAAAGAACTGAACTCAATTTGCCATTTTAAAATCCTTCCTTTTCTGACCATTGCTACCAGAAGATGTATAACTCCAGAATGCTGGGGCAGACTGCCCCAGGGGTCTTGTCCCACCATCTGCTGATGCTGGGATGACAGCAAGAGTCTGGCATAAGGCATGAATCACAATTAGATGTGAAGCTGAGGCATTTGTGTGTGTGGAGGCGAGCAGTTAAGTGCAAATCACCCATGCATGTCTCATTTTAACCAGAACTGAAAGAATGACTTAACATCAGAGTTGAACTACCAGGGGCAAGGGGGGAAAAAGGAAACAAAAGCAGTATCAACTCCTTATATTCTAGTGAGACTTGCCACAGGTTACAATCCAAGGAATTGCTAAAATAGCTCTACTAAAATGAGTGAAGATTTGCGAACAGTAATTTATTAATGTTACTGTCAGAGAAGTAAAAGGGGAAAACAATGGTTTGGTTTTTTTTTTTTTTTCCATATAAATCTGATATACAATTTAGAAAAAAATCTAACAGGTATTCTATTAACCTGCTAGCATGTGGATTTCTACGTAAGTTTCAAATTTAAATTAAACAGCTGAAAATGAACTTCTTTCCTTTCACATAAAAACATGACCAAATACTGCTTATCGCTAAAATACCACTGTACAATAAATAATAACAAAGTTTCAGTTTCACTTCATATTTACTTTCTGTACTGGCATTCTATTGCATCTCAAAAGGTATATTTATCTGTAAACTAAAAGATGTTCTCAGGTATTTGTGAGCACTCCTGAAATAATTTTAAAAGAACATTAAGAAGTAGTCAGTGGTTAGTGTTTGCAATCTAAATGATTGACTACTTGTAAAGAAACCTTGCACTGTGGATCAGGAGTCTTAAAAAAAAAAAAAGTAGACTTTTCATTATCTTTAGCCAGACTACTATTGATATTTTTTTTTTAAGATTTTATTTATTTATTTGACAGAGAGAGATCACAAGCAGGCAGAGAGGCAGGCACAGAGAGAGGCAGAGAGAGAAGGAAGCAGGCTCCCTGCTGAGCAGAGAGCCCGATGCGGGGCTTGATCCCAAGACTCCGAGATCATGACCTGAGCCGAAGGCAGCGGCTTAACCCACTGAGCCACCCAGGCGCCCCTACTATTGACATTTTAACTACACTCCTTTTAAATGTTTGTAGGAATCAATTCAACATCTTTCTCCCCCTTCACATTTAGGTGCCATCATAGAAATGTTTGACTGTGCCTACAAATTATAGACAGCTGGCAGTCCTTGAATTTTGAAGGACTCCATAAATGAAGGACAATTGCTACTCCACAGTAGTATCTGTGGGAGTGACTGCAGGAGTTCTATCCATCACAGTGGCCTTGCAGTTCAGCAAGCACTCATTCTGTCCCTGCAGTCCTATGTCCACACTCCAACTCACCTCTTCATTGCAAGTAGGTAACTTAGTTATGAAACTGGCAGTGAAAGAAAGAACAAGAAAAGTAGGCAATCGGGTCAGAGAAACTTGAAAGAAGAGTAAATCAAGAAGCCAGGATACAATGCCAATGCCATAGAATGCCATCTAGGAGAAGTTAAAGCACTACTCATAGAACTTCTCTGAGCCAATAAATAACCCAGCAGAAGAGAGTAAGTGGAATAAGAAGGAACCTATAATTTCTTCCAGAAAGGCTAACGTTCCCAACAAAGCTGCTAAGTAAATACATTAAAATAACTGACTTTACAGTTAAATACCAAGAGGAGGTTTTTAGGCATGCTACTAAGATAAGCTAAATTTATGATGTTATGTCAGCAGGTAGGCTACATGAGAATAAATTAATGGAAAACACCTGATATCCATTTTATAGTAAACTCCAAGTTAGAAAAACAAAAATAATGACTGCTATTACTATAATACTATTAGATTTTAAAAATGTATTTAGATTAGATGGATAGTATTGTTTTAGAGTAATAAAAAGTGTCTGAAGTTTTACTTAGAATTATAGGAACAATAAAGAAGTGGTACCTTCACATCCAAGGGATCCTTATGACAGACTATGAAGAAAAGACTCAGATTTTGGATTGAATATGACTCATGGCTCAAAGGGCCATGTGTCTCCTTCCCTAGGGAACTATGTATTACTTCTCAAGGGGTGGATTTTTAGAATAGGGTATAACAAAAGACCTGAGCCTGTGTCTAGGTGATCTAACCCAAATGAAGGCCATCATTTCATCAAATGTGGGCAGAGTACCACACGGACAAGTCCCAAATCCTCTCTTCTTTAATCCAACTGAAAACAAAGAATTTGTACTTGCATAGGCCATAAATATTTAATATTTAATACTCCCCAAATCAAATTTACCATTTTTCCCTCAAATTCATTCTAGTCTCTATCTCAGTGAATGGCAGGGAATCCATTTAAGCCAGAGCCCTAGAGTGATTATAAA